CCTCCCATGTATGTCCAACCCGTATTATTATGGTGGAGTTTTACGGGTATTCATTACTTATATTCTAATTGTAGTGATGACCCAAGATAGGCATATAGGTGAACTCCGGGCTACAGTTATGTGACAAGTAAACTTTCCAGTCTTAGACGGTTCAACTATCGTTTTCTACTCATACACGTCCATGTACTTTCCCTAAGCGTCCCTCGCTTTCTAAAATCGCATAAAGGGTCGGGAGTCTTGCAGTACCCCGAATCTCACAGTATTTGGGCCTTGTTCCCTGATAATGTCGTGGGCACCGATACCACTGAACTCTCCAGTGACCGTTGGCGTAGCTGCCGTTATCAAGGGCAAGCATGCTTATTGTTCTTAGGGCGCAAAAGATATTTTCGCATTTTGTATTCAGGTCTGGATGTCTTTGCAGAGCGTGGCATTCTGTCCCGGCCTGAATGTTTGCAGCCTTAAATTCAAGAGATACTGTAGGGATGTCATCAGGGATTTTTGATGCTCAGCAGCATTTGGGTTCCCCCTGTTTGGGGGTTTCAGAAAGTGGTTGGCTAGGTTTCTAAAATATGTATTCACCGTATCATGGAAGCATTCGGATTTCGCATTCTGTAGGGTTCCAAGGGAACTTCATGGGATTTGGGGGTTTGAAGCGAGTCTTCCAATCAGATGAGGCTTTTGTGCGCACGGTTGTAAAACACCAAATTTGGACTGGCGTCAGATTTTGGGTCCCTGGGTGCCCCCAAAACGAAGAACCGCTCCTACCATTCAGCCGTTATAATAGTATTCTCATTCTTATTTTTCAGTCTATTATTATTAGTATTACCAGTATTACCATTGGGCTCACAAGCATGTCCACCCTCTGAAAAAGCAAGCAGGTAGCCGGCGACCAAATAAAGTTCAGTGGATTGGTACAGGAAATTGCGCCTGTACTGTGTTTGTTGTTGATTCTCTGCTTGCTTGCCTTGTTCGGCTGTAGTTGAACATCAAAATCTCAGTTTGGGAAAAGATTCGACTTGATTTTTTTTAATGTCTGGCAGACTTACAAAGGCTTGCCTTCCTACCCTACTTAGCTCACCTGATACTTCTCGAGAGTCGTGGGGGTTGTTCAGTGAACTTTGTCTTGTATTCGAAAGGCAGATATCAACAACACTTGGGGGTGTTTCGCACAGAGATCAACTGCTCTCTAGAAGCCCTGAGATACAGATGACGCTTTGGTTGAGTGACTGGTTTGTTTTTCAGGCATCTAGTCATGGAATTCATGGACGGTGACCTCAAGAAGGTCATAGAGGACAGGCTGAAACATCAAGGGCGCCTGTTAGGTGGTCGCTCACTGATCTTTATTGATTTCTGTGAGAGATGCTTGTTGCTGGTTTCCAGCAAGCAATGTTCGTTTTCTTCGCGGCTACCAGGAAAGGGCACAAGAGGACTTGACCCTCTCGGGATCTGTCAAAGAGGCATGACATGAGACACTACTACTGACTAAGGTTGTTGTCTGACTGTGCTTCATCGGTGTAAGAGCGTTCTCTGACATTATGGCGACATTGTTTGTAGCAGTCACGCCAACAGACACACGGATTGCAAGTTTGATGGACGCGCACGCCAGGACAAAGCTCTGGTACTCTCAGAGGTCGACATTGTTGAGCAGCGCTTGTGTAGATGTCTGGAAAGAAAACGTTTCAACTTCGCTGTGTAGCCGAAACTGCTAGTGTGGGATCCCCTGAAGAAATCGCGAGACTTGAGCAAGGACTCGACACCATTCGGTCTTCTTTTCCTCAAAGCACTCTCTACACCTCCGTACAAGCTCTGCAAGGCCTTCCAGTGAATGCAACTTCTGCAGGCGCACTGCAAGTGCCTGGCCAAGCAGATGCTTCAGGGTCCGAGCCTCAGTCTTTAAGTAGACGTTTTCAAACATGGATTTCCTTATTGAAGATTGGCGCACCCTTATAATAGGGAGGTTCATGTTTGTAGTGGTTAAAGTTGGATATCAAAGATGTATCTGAGCGTTTGTACCAGATTTGGGTATACAGCGTGTTCACCACTTCCGAAACGAATTTCATTGTTTATAGGGAATGCTGGTGGTCGTTGTGTAGAAGACTTTCATGATGTTCAGTTGAGACAATGGCGTGATGGCGTCCTTTCAGGGCTTGTTGGGATTTCGTGGGTCGAGTTGAAATTATTCGTGTGTTGATGCAACCTGCTGACCAGTATGATTTTCTATTCGTTAACCTTCTTAATCTCGAGTGCCTTCCGCCGGTAAATGCATCCAGAGGTGTGGTCTTGTTTGGATTGGACACGCTAGGAGTGTGGTGGAGCCTGCCAAGTGCTTTCTGCCTTCGTTTCGACTGGGATTCCATCATTGATGATCCGAAGCGAGCATGCCGTGTAGACAGGCCTTCTTCTGTTAGTTCTCACATGAAGAACTGGAATACCCCAGAGCCACCAGACTGATACTGCAAAGTACGCCCTCGAGTGATCATCTTAAAGGGTGGGGAAGCTTCCACACTACTCAAACAATACTCATTCATCAGAGGCTGTCGGGATTTGAGGACTCTCAGACTATATTAGAGGCCTGGCCGCGCTACACGAGCGGTTCTTCGTCCATCGAGATGTCACTCCCAACAATGCCTGCGACCTGGCACCACGCTTCTTCTTTCTCTCAGTGGAGTTGTTCTGGCTGTTTGTTGTATTTGGATTTCTGATTTTCGTGCCCCTTTTTTGGGTTATTGTTGTGGCTGTTGAGATTATCAGCAGTATCTCCAAGCCACTTTTGTTATCATCTTCCTTGTCGCTAGCATCGTTGTGATGGTGTCCATGGTGCGTGGTAAATGAGCTGCAATGCATGGCACCCAAAGTTGCACACCATCAAGTGTTCATGGGTTTTCTGCATCGTGTTGCTCAAGTGTCTGGAGTTGCCTGATCTTCGCCCTGCAGGTTTTGCTGAACTTCCAAAGCGGGGTTGCTAAGCCAGACCCTTAGTTTTTGATTTAAGCATCAGGTCCAGCTCTTGTTCCTGGAGGAGTTGTCAATGCTCTGTTTGGTCTGTTTTCATGGACTCGAGATTACCTGAGGCTTAGTGATTTTGGCTTCGCACGCATCATCGGCCAGGACAGTGACAGGCGATGTGCTGCTTGCTGAAGCCTTGAGCGTGCAGGCTAGTTTGAGGATGGAAGGCAGCAAACTTGAGCCTGCGTTCTTACCTATTGAAGTCCTCAGCTTTGGGCTTCCATCCGTTTTCATTCCCTACTTTCCTTTGCCCATGTCCAGCGCTCTACTTGTCGTTGCACATGTGCAAGCATGCCAGTTGTCTTGTCATTGCAAAGCACGATGGTGGCCGTCGTAGTGCCGCTCGCACTGTAGTACTACAGTAGAGAGGTCGGTCGGGCAGAAGCATCAGTAGTAGAAGAAGTATTAGAAGTAGCAGTAGCAGCATTGGAGGCGGTGCTGGTGGTGCTGGTGGCGCTAGTTTTTGTGGTGGTGGTGGTGGTGGTGGTGGTGGTGGTGGTGGTGGTGGTGGTGGTGGTGGTCTTGGTGGTGGCGGTGACAGTGGCGGTGGCGGCAGCGGCGGTGTTGGTGTTGGTGGCGGCCGTGGTGGTAGTGGTGGTCGTGGTCATAAGCCGTGCTGCAGTGGATGCTAGTTGTCATAGCAACAGCAGCATGTGTCCATGCTCCAGCATCCCCCCATTGCTGTTTGCAGCCATTTCCCCAAGCGACTCACCTTCTGACGCTGCTTTCGCGAAATCGCACTGCTTGGACGCCATGTGCCCAAGCGGCACCGAGTTCATGTGAATGTCCCTTTGTGAGGTAACTCCCAGATTTGGTAGGTGGATTGTAAAGCATGTTGGTCCTGAAGCCAGCATATTTGGAATTAGACTTTTGAATCGTCCGATATGAGTTCGTATCCGGTCTTTGGAGTACTTGAGGGGCTAGGTTTCCAGGACTTATGGTTTTTGGGATGACTTTGATGTGCTGTGTGATTTTCTGACGGGACGCAGGATCTTGACATCGTCCCAAATCTGCCCTGTACGCAACTCAGGCAGAGCCCCAGCGAAGCTGCCACGCAGTTGGTGGCTTGCCTGGACGTATCTGGGAGTTTCCTTGAAGCATAGGAGCCCACATGAGCCAGAGTCTAAACTCCCAGTTCCCCTCAATAACCCCTATAAGTCTCCCATGTGATCCCCTATATACCCCCCTTTAAGGAGTTTAGATTATAGCTCACATAAAGCCCAGCATACGAAAATCCTTGCTTGGGCGATTGCGGGAAAGGGTACCCCTAATCTTTGGGAACCTCCATTTGGCGGCAAGTATCTCCTGTGGCAGCAGTAAAACTGTACTTCCTTGTACTAAAGTTATGTTTCGTCAAATTGTGGTCTTTTGCGGGTCCACATGTTTTGAGGGTGCACATCTTTTTGGTTAGCACGTTCCGTGCGTCACTTTTAGAGACCAATTTGTAGGGCGTTAGGACTGATCTTCTGGTACCATGTGTCGGTAGATTTTCGTTGATCATTCAGTACCAGGTTTATTATTTGCATGGCTGCTGGTAATCAGGTATGATTACCATCTCAGGCGCAGGCCACGTCTGTGTCCCGCACCTTCCAGCGCATTGTGGCCCGCAGCAAAGGCAAGATGTCTGTCCAGCAAGCATTCGTACAAGTACTTTTTCTTTGCTGTTTTTGACGATTTATAGCATGTCGCTATCATTAGGTTTCATACCCATCCTTTGCCACGCTTGGCGGCTACAAAGTGTAGATTTCATTGGCAAGTGCAAGGAATTTGCATGCGAGCTGGCAGATGCAACTACAAAAAGTAGGTGGATCTCGGAAGTTTACGCAACCCTCTCAGCACTTTGGTTGCGCGCTTTTTAAGCGGAAGGGCATCCCACGTCTGTTTTTGCGGAGTGGCGAGTGATGCACGCATTGCATCATGCCACCATCCTCGCATGGTGTGCTCTAAACACGGGGGTATTCGTCCAACTCACATATGGCCGTCACAGAATGGCCTGCAGCTCACCCACATAGCGAGCAGGCAGAGCACCACGCAAACGAAGCAGAGTGAGGTTGCGCAAGCCATGTAAGATACAAGGATAAATGCACATACCTGAAACACTCTCCGCACATGAAGACATGACGTTCCCGACACACGTATGATTGCGCAAGAACGGAAAGCGTGCCCTTCAACAGAAAAAGCTCCTAAAGTACTGGATCCAAAGCCAGAAAACAAAAGCCGCAGTACCCAAGCGAAACGCCGACGCCCCATGCCAGGCTGAAGCAGCAAAGCGCCGCGGACTTTGTCAATTGCGGACTAGAGCATCTTCCTGAAAGAAACCTTGAAGCAGGTTATAGGAAGACGAAATGCCCCCTCCAAACCGTCAAGCAACTTGTGCTTTTATCGCCAACAGAACGAAATCATCCGCCCACCTCCCACACCCCAAAACCTTGAAGCAACTTGTACCGTTGATTGTCAAGATGACGAAAACATCTCCCCGCCGAAAACCCGGAAGTACGGCTCTGCACCCAAAACAAGAAGTGCGCGGCAAAGGAACGTAATGGAACCTATCACTAGACTCACCGTAAAGCAGCAGAATACATTTCTTTGGCAGTTGTCCCTCAAATCCTAAACCCTAGATGCTGGAGATTTGCCAGCAGGTCTTCCTGTGCCCTACACCGCAACGGGATTCGCAGTTGCCCCAGTGGGTGTGTCTTATGTTGCAGTTTTTCACCACAGCATACTATACGTATACGCATACATACGCATACGCATATGTTATATACGTATGCGTATATGTACATGTGTATGTATATGTAGATGTGCAAGTATAGGTATATGTACATGTATGGATGCTGTTTTGCATTTATGATGCATATGCTGCACATAACGTCCCCAGCTTTCAACCCTAAACTCTGTCCCCTCGATCTCAACACCCACAACCTGGAAGTATCAGGTTCAGAACTCCACTGGCCAGAGCTGGACGATGTTCAAGGACATGGTGAATACATGGGAAGTTTTACAATCACCGGGCATGGAATCAGGGACCTGTGGCAATTGAATGGCAGTGGGATTATGGTAGTTACAAACAACAGGGTGATCCCACTGTAGGAGTTGCTGTAGGGACCCCCAATAAAAAGGTACCTCTAACTTTGGGAAACCCTAAACCCTATATAAACCCTACTTTGCCTATATAACCCCAACACAACCCTAATTTTCTGACATATTCCCCATGGCTTCGAAGGATGTGCCCTACAGCGCCGACTCAGGTCTCGTGGCCGTGATGGTCCCGGCGACTTGACCGCACAGATTGTGCACCGGCCCTTTGTCTTTGGGAATTTTATTCCTTATATGATACCTAGATAGTATATCCCCTTATTCCCAACTAAGAACCCCAATATATACCCTATTCTAAGGTAGTCGTTTCCATTTTCTTTTCCATTATCCGTATATAATCCCTATATAACCCCCATATAACCCCTATAATCCCTGTAGTTTCCATTTTCTTTTCCATTATCCCTTTCTATATACCCCCTATATATACAAGTTTCTTAACCTGAGGTGGCTGTTGGCTTCGGAGCAGCTCGGCTGACTTTCCTCACAGAAAAATTTGAGAGTCAACGGATCCTGGGAATGCTGTGTATGATAGCCGAGTTAGATGATATTCCTAGCAGTAGAGTTTTTTTTTTTCTGTCTATTCATGCAAAGAGAAGAAATCTCAATATTTTGGCTTAAGCCATTTTCAATCCGTGCATTGCTGCGCATTGTTGTTGTTTTTCTATGTTCTATGTTTTAGATTTATGTCGGCTTGCCAGCAGCAGCCAAATTGATGTAACCAAGGCTGTCATCCTGATTGCAAGGATGATGAAGTGAGCTTGCCAAAGGAGGGAGTCAACTTTGAAGACGTCCCATGGGGAGCTGTGCAGGAGACAGGTAAGGGCTCAGATGAGTTCATCGGAAGTACAAAGTGTTCTGGACTGTTCTGGTCTGCTCAGCTCTAGCGTTCACGCCCCTTGGCCTGTCTCAGTCTCGGAACGAACTGACCTGCCTTGGAAGTTTCTCTTTCACCCTGCTTTGAGTGTCCATGCAGCTGGTGGCATGAGAGCTTGGTAACAAGCAGTCAAAACATTCATCTGCTGCTCACCAGATTGTGCGGACGAGGGAGGAACCAGCCGTGTAGCAAGATGCGAGGTACCCAGCTCTGGGGACGTTCCACCTTCTCTGATGTAGCATTAAATAGTCACATGACATCCATCCGGCTGGTATATTGAAGCTCGTGTTGTTGGTGTGATTGGCAACAGCTCCTCGCAGTCGATTCTAGTTTCAACGATTTCTAAGACGACGTGGCAGTCTCTGAGGCTTGGGTTGGGAGTACGGGTTCCACGATCGGAAGCTCTGTTTGATAGGATGTGCCAGGGTTGACAGGCCATACCTTTCAGCAACTGTTAGGTGGGTTCCTCGTGTTGTTGTAAGTATGTGCCTTCTCATTTTTTCAGTTTTGCTTCTTGCCTTCATTGCTCTCCTGATTACTATGTTTTTTTCTTCTGGGCGTCACCTTGGCAGGGACTTTCGTCTTAAAAACAATGCCGTCAGAGTTGTCACGTGCCGGCCTACCTCCATTAGCCGGAAGAGAGGTCAAAATGAGAGGCAGTGGGTCCGTTCTGGAATGAGCTCATATTCCAAATTCCTTCACATTGTGTGTTGACAACGCAAATCGTCAATGCGTGACTCCATCGGTTTCGACTGCGTTGATCGCATTGGATGATTACTTGTGCTCTACTGTATGGTGATTTCTGTGAAACAGAATCGAACCCGCAAATGGGATTCGTGATTTTGGTCGGTTTCGAGAGGTGAAGGTCTGCTTTCATGGTCTTTGTGGCCAACTAGTTCTTCTTGTTGTCAAGAGTTCGATGATTGGTGTCTGAGTGTCCTCTGCTATCAGTAGTGAAGCGAGCCCACGAGCATAGGGGGGGTTGCATATCATAGTTGCCAACACGCCTCGGCACAAGTGAGTGAGGTGTCTGCGGCTTTATTGTGCAAACCCTGTCTAGACTTCGCCCTCATCATGTATGATTCCCACCATGCATGTGTAATGCGAAATACCATCCCGAAAAGGAACAGTTGAAGAGAGCTTTTTGAGTAAGTATCCTCTCCACGCCCAAACGCAAGCTTGCGTCGTTACAGGACACTGACCTTCAGTGAACAATATCATTATTGTACCATGGTTAAAGTTTTGTCACTGCTTACACGGGGGAGGCCAATGACTGGGGGCTGCACCACGATTTGGCCAGGGACCCGGGAGCTGAGTCAAAGAGAATGGATGTGTGGGAGTACACGGGGTTTTGCAAAATTGTGAGTCCGCTATTGGGGGTTGTCCAGCCAGGGCAATATTAGGTTCGGGGTACATTGACCCGATATACCCACATGTATCCCACTACTGGGCCACGAGTTGTGTGTGCCTGGCAGCTAGCAGCTAGTGGTCGAAAATTCTTCAGTTTGGAATAGCTAGAGGACAAACTACATTTTTTTGAATCCTGGTTTCCATCGCCCCAGCAGTGCTAGGTATCGTGCGCCAGAGCTACTTTTTGGCGCCAAGCACTACGGCCAGGCAGAAGGGCAGGGTGTCTTCTTGTCTTGGGCAGTCCTTTGCGTTTCCTTTGCGTTCAATGTCCTTGAGGTTTGCCTTTGGCACTAGGAAAGTTGCGCCATCAGCTTGCAGAAGCCACGGTACCGAATTGTGCTTCAGGCTGTCGACATTTGGAGTAGTGGCTGTGTCGTTGCCGAGATGCTCATGCGGGAGGCAGGGACCATTTACAATGTGGGCACTGGTTCCTGAAGTTTGTTTGTGACGGAGTGAGGTTTGATCTTTTCGCACCTGGCCATGGATGCTGCGCAGGCCCTCTTCCCAGGGCGTGGAGAGTTTGAGATGCTGCAGAAGATCATTGAGCGACGTGGAACGCCAGCCGCTCATGCAGTTCATCAAAGTCATTTTCCAACGTGGCCCATTGGGCATGCCTAAGCACTGCAGATTTCATGTTTGATGAGAGCTGCTTGTCATGGATCACGGAACAAGGCCTTCAGAAGATGTTTGGAAGGAAGCTCGTCTGCAGCCTATATACGCGCATTTCTTCCTGAGAGCCAAGAGCTGCAGAAACTTGCGCACATTCAAGGGTACTCCATCCCTGTATGTCCTTGTGCATGTCTGCGCAAGCAGGATGTGTCTTATCTTCCCAACTTCGTGGAGTTCACTCCGCATCCCAAGGCGTTTGGCAGCCAGCAGGTAGGCATAGGTAGGTTTGAAAGTTGGCTCTGAACCCCACTGTCCCCTTGATTTTCCAGTTGACTCTCCATTGCAAGTATATTATCCATGTTTGTTCACTCAGGATGAGGCATGAAGGAAAGGACCCAGAAAGTAGCCCCCATAGAACCACCCCTCAATAATTTTCCAATTTGTTTTAGTCAGAGCGATGGGTGCACAGAATGCAGAAACCTGTACCCTAAATCCTGAACCCTAAACCCCTAACCCTAAACCCTAAACCCTAGAACATAGTAGTTTCCATTTTATTTTCCATTATCCCAATATATCCCCCCAGAATCACCCTATCCAGTAAGGCACAAAATGTCTCCAGAGCTGTCTTGGTAGACGGAGCAAGGTTGAGGTCCAGCTCTTCAAAGCCAAGCTGTTTATGAGGGGATTCTAGGGTTCTATAGGGATCATTTAGGGTTAATATGGGGATAATGTGAGGGTTATGTGGGAATTGTACGTGGGTTGCTTGGTTATGATATGGGGTATATTTAGGGATATTGACGCAAGAATGAGGCATCAAGTGGGAAATCGAGTGGAAGCAGGGGGACTTCGCGATATAGAAAAGGATAAATAGTTGTAGCCTACTTTTTAGCTTAAACGGGATTTTTGGAAGTTTCGGGGCCCTTCAATAATTGAAGTCTATGCTTGGTCGGAACTGCTTCTCCCTTGCAGGCGCCGATGGATCAAATCCTGCCCAACACGTCGAAGCTCGGCTGGCCATCATGAGACTGGAAAAAGGAATCATGGCTTTTGCGTATATACCAGGTGTTCATTGGATGTACTACGTGTTCTGTTCGATGCTTCGGCGTGTGTCAGTTACGTATACATTTCCAGGATAGTAGCGTTCTAGATTGAACATGCCCAAACGGGACATTCGGGAGTTTTGCAGACTTGCCCCTCTTTCATTCTCCCTTGCAACCTCCGTGCTTCCGTGTGGCATCCCGGAATCCTATTCCCGAAGCCGTAAACCCTGACCATGAAGCATGTGAAAAGCCTGTCGCCCTCTAAGGCCTTAACCTCGCCCGGCTGAAAAGAGCACTGCAAGAAAAAGCCTACGTAAACCTTTGATTCCGCTGAGGGCGGCTTCCCAATCTTTTGTGGATGCCTTGCTGACTCTGGATCCCAAGCAGCGCCAGGGCCTTGTGGTTGTGCAAGGCGTAACATTGCAAATGGCTTGCAGAAAAGGGACAAGGTTTTTGTTTGGATTTTTCAATGCAATCGCAGAGCTTGATAAAGGAATTGTTTATAGAGTTGTAAGATTACTCAGGCCATACTTTCATTATCCCATGAGCAGCAGCATGCAGGGTGCGAAGAGAGAGAGTCCAACGTTGCTTATGGAGAGATGTAGTTCTTAGTTTGGCTTTCCTTGCAGAAGCATTTGAGGAAGATCCAAAGCCAAGCCTGTCGAGGTCCCTCTGCCACTGGGGCCCTTGCCCATGAGACGCTGAAGATGGCCGCTCACTTGAATCATCGTCTTGGTGAATAGCTTCATTGTCATAATAGGTATAACAATATTTTTTGCAGCAGTGGCAGGAGAATTAGCAAAAAACACCGTTTCCTCATAGTGAGCAATACTACTGACAACAGAGCATGTACCTAATCCTGCATCCAGATCTCTTGCTCGACATCTTTAACAGAGGCGATGTGTCATAGGCTGTTTCCTGGACTGCCCCACAGCCAAAACGTAAAAGGTAGTTTCCCAAAATGGGGGGACCCCAATATAGACCCTCATATATTATAATCCTTATTATGGGGACCCCCAACAAGGGATCCCGTATTTTGGGAAACTCTAAACCCTAATCCCTAAAGCCTATATTCCTGTATAACGCCAATATAACGCTGACATTTTGGGAAGCCCCCACATGGAGTATGGCACTCAGTGTGGGATGAGGGAAAAGATCCTGTATTGGAGTTTCTCAATATTGCCCCTAAAAAGAATTCTTAGTAGGGACCCGCAGAATCCATGTGTAATCCCCGTCGCCAAAATTATGATGAAAATTGGAGACCTAAATATTAGGGGCAATATTCTACAGTTGAAAACAAAGATTATAGAGCCCTTCCGCATGTATCTCTAGAGTCTCTCAGTTTCTGTTCAGAATCTCCCTGCAATGCCAAATAATTTCCTGGTATCTGTACCCCGCAACAATGTCATCCTTACCAGCAGGATCCGGAAATGCACAATGTGGACCCATTGAACCCATCACCATCCCCACGCTGCCTTGTGACATGCCTACAAACTGCCTTAGAATCCAGTATAAGTCCGTAAATCCACACAACTTCCACACAACCCATAAATGCTGCCTATGCGGTCCATATAGCTAGATAGCCTTGCTTAACAAAGCACCTTGTGCATCCTTCATCTATAGCTTGAAGGGGTACTGAGGCGTTACCTCTACCCTCCGCACCGGGCGAGCTGCCTTTTGTGCGGAGAAGTGCGAGGGCCCAGAGGTAGGTGTGTCTTTTGGGTCGACATGTGGGCTGTTCCTTTGCTTTTAAGCAGTTCGACGTTTCGGCAATTGTCCAAGGTGTTTGAAGCGCACACCAGCAATGAGCAAGGACGCTATAGGGTTACTGTCTCTGTCAGAGAGGGTTTCATGACAAGAATCCGTATATATATATATACAGATATATATATATACATTCTTCGAACAGGATTCGACCTACGGCCCTTCTTGAAGGGCTGGGTTTGCACTGACTGAACCTTATGAAAAGCTTCGTCATGAACACTGCTTCTCGTTGTGATGGAATCCATGTGCCTTTTTTCAAATTCAGTTTCTGCTCCTTAGGTTGATCGCTGGGTCAACATGCCGCCGCTTGATCTTTCGAGTCTTTCTGAATGGCCCCTAATTGGGCAGCTGGTTGCCACAAACTGTGGAGACCGCGGCCACGCTGCGAGAGCCTGGCACTGACGTTTCACGCTGTAGAAGGATAGGGCCGGTTGGGAGGAAATAGTTCCCATTCAACTCTATAGAGTAGCTTCTATTTCATGTTCCATTTGGTTCTCCATTATCGGGGGAAACCGTATCCCCTACATAATCCCCCTGTCGTATGGCTTATGAGATATTTGTTCCAACCGTGGCTGCATCCCCTAGGACCCAGCAAGGAGCAAGTGAGTTGCTGTTTGCACTGCAGTTTTGGCTTCACTTCTGCATCAAGTGGGATAATTGGGGGTTACTTTGGGGTTATACAGGGTTATATTGGGTTTATAATAGGTTCTAGGGTTTAGGGATTAGGGTTTAGGGGTTTCCTGAAATTGGGGGTAATTTTTTGGGGGTCATTCGGGGTCTATAGTCGGGTCCCTTATTTAGGGAAACGATCAAGTTTACATCTGACTACGTGGCTGAAAGGGCAAGTGCTTTTGTCTCACTTTTTGCAGAAGACAATTCGAGATGGGTTGCAAGTCAGAATTGAACTAGCTTAGCGCCTTGGCCCAAAGTCACATAGGCACAAGAGTGAATGTATCAAGTTGAAAGCCTTTTTGAGAACTGTTGGGCTGCGCACCTTAGATATGTAGCCTCTTGCTGCGAGTGTTATGCTTCCCGTTCGCCAAGGGTTCACGAAAATCCTTGTGCTGCACATGTGAGGACCGAACGTTGCGATAGCATTAAAGTTATGTTATTTTCAGGACCCTTCATGCCATGCAAGTGTCAACTGAGGTCTGCAAGTGCTTGGATTGACCATCACATGATAGCAGGCAGTGAGTGTGTGGACTGTCCGGCTTCGTCAAGTTGCCGTGGCTCAAGCATCTGCAAAGACAGGAGGTAGTTTCGGCATCAGCGTTTTGTGCTTGCATGTCAAATTCCGAGACTGAACCCATAACATGTGGATATTGCAACGCATCGAGAGTCGTCGCGAAGCCTTGATGACCAAAAAACACCATTTTGCCCGTAGACGTAGTGCAGCTCAATGCAAAGCATTGGGATGTGGCTGCACGTGTCACGTTTGTTGACATGCGTGCCGTCGCAAATGCTAGGATCTCAGCTTCTAGATGGCGTCGACAGTGATTACAATAGGGTATGTAATGCAAAACTACGATTCATATCTAAGGTCCTTATGCCTAATGCTAAGGACATCGTTCAATAATCAGAGTTAATCTTGTCTTTCTTGCAGAAGATTGGCAGGCATCAAAGATGCTGCGCGCAAAGAAGAAGAAAGGTGGCAGTCTGAAAGGCCGGAGCCTAAATATTCCAAAGGGGGCAGAGCACGGAGAACCGCAGTCAGTATGGAAAGGGTTGTTAAAAGATGTTAAAAGCAAGATGAACTTGTTCTGCTACAGGAGGGTGAGGCACATCTTTCAGAGGGGACGGTCTGCAGCCGAGGTGCAAAAGCAGACAATGCTGAGGCTATCTTGGCTGATGGAGCTGTGTGCGTCCCTTGCGCATGATGCTGCATCATCAACATAATGCGCCCTAGTGTCAAAGTAGTAGTCAAAATGGTGGTGTTGATTTGAGTGGTGGTAGACGTGGTGATGGTGGTGGTACTGGTGATGAAGCAGAAGGCGTCATCGTCGTCCTAGTAGATAAGTGGTTAGTTGGTGCTTGTTCAGTTAGTAAGTAGTCAACTTCAATAGAGGAGCCGGGTTCGACACAGGCATGTGTCGAGTGAAGTCCGCCAGTATCTAAGTGGGTCATCACAGTATGTTCCACAGCACTTCTGCTCAACGCAAGAGACTGAGTACACGCAAACTTAGGCTCCTGCTTATGGCAAACAAGATAGTTATCTGTGTTCGTGGATGCTACACTTACAGGAAATTCGTGCGTGCCTGAGGATGTTGTGGCCTTTCTGGGAGGTCGGGGTGGGCACAGCGTGATGTGATGTGAACTCTATTCCGTAAAATCCTGTGCTAGAATCCCGATATCATCTCTGGTACTGTAGAGACCACACTTAGTGCCATAGTACAGTGACACGGCATCTGTTCTCATATCACCCCTCTTCACCGAAACCTTCATCCCTCAAACTTCCACGTGTTCAGGCATCACCCTCAGAAGTGCAGACGAGCGCATCGT